TAACTGTCACAATATTAATTTGAATATTAACGTTAATTACCATTCTAATTAATTATATTTTTCAATAAAATATCCCTTAAATTCGTTTGTTTGTGATTTAATCGTTCCGGGAGTTTCGTCAATATTTAATCCCGGAGGGATTAAATGTGACACTTTAGTACCTGTCACAAGGGAGTGAAGTTGTCACTTTAGGCCCGGAAGTACGAAAAATATGTTTCAGAACCGATATGCTCATTCAAATCGGAAACGGTTCATATCTCCGAAAAAATTGGAGGGCAAAACAGCGTCCAAATTGAACGATCCACCTATTTGGTAGCTTGAAAATGTCAGAGGCGTACTATGAATGAATTTTGGGGGGAAAAAAGGAGCCTCTACCCCCCAAAAACGTATCACCCCGTTGATTTTGGAAATCTTTAAAATGCTTCAAATGATGATCTTCTAGAAAGTATTCACCACACCCAATTTCAATTAAATTGATATCTTCAAAAAGGAGCGGGATATTTCAATTAAAATAGAAAAATAATTAAACTTTGACCACCTGTAGCTCCGCTGCTGAGATCAGATTCATGTTTATATGAACTTTTTTGAATGAAATGATGAGATCAATCACCCATTTCAGTCTGTACCTTAAAACTTGTATCACCCTGTATATTTATGAACAGAAGGGAAATATATTCCATTAGAGCTGAATATACAGGGTGTTTCAATTAAAAAACTCATTTGGACTCTTTTATTTTCATTTTGAGATTCGACTCTGTTTAGGGAGTGCCAAAGGATATTTCATATTTCATACTCGCACGTTCTTTCCAACTCTTAAGAGTTGCAATCAATCACGATTTTTTTAATAATGGAAAAATAATTTTTTCTCGATTAAATCGCAATTTTTTTATCTATACTGATTTTGTCTTGAATTAAAGTGTTTTCCTTGAATATGGAAATTATGTACTTTGAAATCACTTATTTTCATTATTTTTCTTTCCTCTACCGAGAATATTGTTTGTCTAGATTTGCAGTTAAAAAATCCCCTCGGCGACATACAAAAAATAGTTATTTTTGTAACTAGAGCGCGAAATGCCACTTTGGTGATCGAGATCTGATTTTTTTAACGAGGCGTAGCCGAGTTGAAAAAATAGTCGAGATGACCAAAGTATTTCGCGCTCGAGTTGCAAACAACATTTTTTCTACAAACGTCAAAAAACATAGTTCTAAAATAAAAATATGCTCAGCTTGATATAAAAAATAGTGTTGAACTGGCTTAAATGACCTCCCCCTATCCTCCCTAGGTACGCACGATGTTCCACGAACATAATAGGAATTTCCTTTCATGCGCTCCAAGAGATAAAACAAAGTTATGGTTGAACATTCAGAAATAAATGATTTCGTGGATGTTTGCTCGATTGAGGACCATTAAGTTGGAATAAAAATATCTCATATATTTTACATAACAATGCGCGAAGTAGGTACTTCGCGCACTGTTTTACTTCGCGCATTCTTATGTGCAAGGTATCATGGTAACGTAGGAAACTGAAAAAAAGTGTCACTTCGCAATTTGTTATCAATGCGCGAACCTTGTCATTTTTTGACGTTTGTAGAAAAAAAATGTTATTTGATCCAGGGCCATTATATCCGCGTTGTTATATCCGCATATGTCATTGACTATCATCATTATGTTCTTTATCACTTCTTATTCTGACATATCTGTATACATTACAGACTTCAGGTACCGTCATCTGAGTATATATGAAACGGCAAGGGTTATATCGTTGATTGATATATTACGCTTACGCTAAGCGTAATATATCAATCAACGGTTATATGAAACATCAGGTACTTTCTTGAATTTGGCGCGTTGGTTATTTCAATGTCACAATGTTGGTTAACCTGTTTGTCAAAAAGTCTGGCAAATAAACCAAAGACTATCTTGTTATTGTTCATCACAAAAACCAAAAAGTAATTACTTCAAATCAGTATTGAAATTTATTGCACTCGTAAGCTTTTTTAGTAACCTCCAATAGTCTCATCTGAATCTCAAAAACCCATCGTCATGCATACTCAGTTCATTGAGAACAATACTTATACATAACCTCAACTAACCATTGTCAATTTTTTTATGATTAGAATCATTAAACCTCGTCGGGAAAAAGTATAAAACAAAAAAATCTCGTTTTTGCAGGGTTATATGAAATGCAACATGCCACGAAAACATCCATAAAATTTCTTGCAAAAATTATTTCCATTGATAAAAATATAAATGTTAAGTTTTTTGAGAAATTATAGAGGAAAAAAAACATGTTCATTTTTTCCCCTGTTACTGACATGTCACAAGTTGAGGTCAGTGACATAAATTTCATTGTTTCGCAGAGGAATTCACACATTTAGTGGTGACCTGATTTAATATGTCAAATAGTGACAAGGATCTCATTTCTGTTTTTTTCTATTATTTTTTTAGAGTTTTATGTTAGTTTTTCAGAGTTTAATGTTATTTTTTATACCCAGAATTTTAAAGTGAAACAATAAAATGATCTTTTGTATTTCCTCTGTATTATTTTCTGTTTCAGTTATTTCAATGCTGTTTTTTTTTTTAATTTTTGAAATATCCCACTTGTTCCATATAATCCATCACAAAGTCTAATATAACATAATTCCAATTTTTCACGAGGATATGAAGTGAAAATGATATTGTTTCATATAACCCGTGACAAAGGGTTATATGAAACGCCAAAAATCCATGAGGAATATACCTTTGTATGTCCTTCAAATAACCATGAATATTTTGATTCGTTCTGATTTTCCAGAACGGAAATAATCATAGAAATGTTAAAAAATCGTTTCATATATACTCAGATGACGGTACGAGAATACCCGAAGAAAACCAGCACCCGAAACAAGCGTCTAGAGTTGCATCATTTCCATTGGCGGCTCTCTGAATTCTCGCGCATACATGACATCTCTGACAATTGCCGAATTTCAAGGTCATAATCTAATGTCTACTAGGCCCTACTATGGTATTAGTGAATATTTCTGTGATGTCATATAATCTGTTTTACTTCTTTGTGTGTGCTGTTTTTATTCATTTCTATTATTTTTACACAAGTTTTATATTCATAACTACCTAGGGATATTAGGAATTGTATTTTTATATAACATATTACTTTATTATTTCTTTTTGATGACACATTTGATGCTTTGTCGATGAGATTACTCTTCTTAGTAGTAATCAAGTATATTTTGATTTGATAATATATTGCGATGAGGAACACCTGGCTTAGATTGAAAGTCAGACATGTTTTCCTTATTGCTAAATGTCATCATAACGTCAACTGATGACCTTGAAATCTGCCGAAAGGCGATATCTGCGAGAGGCAATTTGTTTTTCATAAAAATAATTCGCAAGTAATCTTCCAAAAAATATACTTTCTAGGAAGAAGATTCATTTAGTCCGAATAAGGTTAGATTGTTGATAAAGAGTAGTGTCTTTGGTTCAGTCAAGTGATTTCCCGGAAAATATACTTTCTAGGAAGGAAGTTCATTTAGGCCTAACTAGGTTAGATTGTTTAGAAGGCTATTGATTGCCCTCCTGCCCGTTGTTGGCCTCGATTCGGTGCATATATAAATATAGAAGTTACCTTCTTGAATTGATTGTCTGCAGCCCTTGTGCAACTGATGAGGCTTGGAAAGCCGAAACAGTCTGTCTTGCTGACAATCGGTTCACAAAATTTCTCTAGAGTTTCCTAGTCTTGAGGATCCAGGTTTATTATCATGGTATTTCTTTTTATATCAAGTTTTTCTTTCAGTTCATCACAATTTTCTTGTGACACAGGAGACATAATGTAACAGCCTGTAGTTTTTCTATTTGAATAGATGAAAATTTGAAATTTACAAGGGTTATATTATGATCGATAATGGAGCTTTTCTTGAACCCAATGACCATTTTTTTCAACCACCTGTTTGATTGGAAGTAGATCCAACTTTTTTTTTCAAACGGCACCCTGTATATATCTGTAGTTGAAATACATGAAGTTGGCTGTGACCCGAATACATTAACATTTCGATATTTTTCATATTCTAATCGGTCCCAGAAGATTGTCAATAATTTCATTGAGTTAAAAAAAAATCATCCGAAAATAACTCAGGATATTCGGACAATACATCAATTATTGCTACAATTTCAGTTTCATGTATCCGAATGGATGATCATATTATGGCTACATGGCAAAAATGAAAGACAAATAGTTTCTTCACAAGTAGCTAAATGGAAAAAACTGAGTTTCTATATTAGTTTTCTAATTATCGTGAATTATTTTCGGATGATTTCTTTGAACTCAAAGAAATTATTGGCAATCTTCTGAGACCGATTAGGGCATGGAAATTATTCTGATAATATCGTCTAAGTAATAACAGCCAATTAATGAACGAATATCAAATTGTGATACATAGTTGAATAGAAAATTTCAAGGCAAATAAAATAGGTTACAGAAATATACAGGGTGCCATTAGAAAAACGATAGTTGGGTCTCCTTTTGATCAACCAGGTGGTTGAAGAAAATTGTCATTGGGTTCAAGGAAAGCGCCATCACCAATAATATGACCTTGGTGAATTTCAAATTTGTATCTCTTCAAATGAGAAAACTACAGCCTGTTACATCTCTCCTGTGTCATCCGGTAATGTAGCGGATATAATGTCGCGGATTTAATGTCGCGGATAATGTGTTGTAGAATTCAAAAAAAGCTTGTTGAAATAACAATTTCTGGCAGAACAAGAAAATTAGTTTTGACACTTACATATCATGTTTTTACAACAATTTATAACATTTGATTTGAATCACAGTTGGGATTGAAACAAATCGGTTGATTCGAATGTTAATCGAAATCATGATTTATTCGTACCAATCCTGCCACCTCCTATAGTTGAAGCAGAAGGCACGGGTCAAAATATAAGGAGACACCCCTGTACTGCAGAGCACTTCAATTCGCGATGGTACAGGAAAATAATACCAATTTCATTTCCGGAGAGCGGTTTTTTCCTTCAGTATTGACACATCTTGATTCGAGTCATTCAGCAAACTATCGCTTATGGAAGGTCGTGTAAGGTCATTCGCCAATAATTTTTGTTCGGTTATAAAGCTGGACTCTTGCTTAACTATCTTTTTCTCATGTTTGATAACCAAGGGATCCTTCATCATCTTTTGTATGTAGGGGGGACAAAACAGCTTATTTCCACTTGTACACACTTGCTTTTTCGCTGGTTTATACCTGACAAAACCTATTTCTTTATTCAAGTCTTTGTTTTTCAGGGTTTTCGTTGTGGTAGGTGTCGCCTGTGTAGAAATCTCTTTGTGAATGACATTTTGCCGCAACAAGGGCTTCGGGCTGTATTTGATATAGAGCCCTACAGGGCTGGCAATGTTTTTGAAACCGGTTAATGGTTTCGAAGCGCTACGCGTTTTTTGGGACAAAGGAGTCTGAGGAACCTTGAAATCATCCAGCGACTGTGATCGTCTTCTCAACGTTGGTATGCGGCTTTTTTGACTACCGCAAGGGCTTCTATCTTTCGTATGGGCAGTTTCCTGTTGCAGAAAAGACGCGGAAATTATATCGTCTGTCTTCAAACGCCAATTATTTTCGATATCTTGATTTTCTTTTTCTTCTTCTTTTCTATTTCTGGTACTTTCTGCTTGTTCCGCTTGTCTCAACATCCTGTCCATCAATTCAATAGTGTCATTGAGTTGACTAGATTCATCAAACTGTGCCAAGTCAATTTCTGGTAAGGTGATGCCGGAAATATCCCTTTCGTTTCTTGTTCCTGGCGTTTCTGCAACATCAGATTATACAGGGTTATTCAGATTTGATGCTGATCATCAATTGCGGAATTTAAATCATATGTACAGGGTGATTCACTATGAATGTCCCCCCCCCCTCATCTAGCTCAGTTATTTTTTAAACAATCGCAAAATTTGAGGCATCATTTGAAATAATTTTTGATGAAGTTATTTTCTGCTAAATCAGAAAATACAGGGTGCTCGGAACAAACGATCTACAGGGTACTAGTTGATTTTTTCAAATGAAACACCCTGTATTTCATTGCATTTCTAGATTCTCCCTGAAGAGCTGATCTCATCAATGCATCACACTAGGAGTCTATCGTGGATGATTACAGAGGTATAGGGTGTTCAAAATGGAGATTTTTTAACTCAAAGATTTTTTTCTGTCGAAGCTATTCATTGAATCACCCTGTAGTGTTCCGATTAAATGTCAATAGATAGTAAATCGAGAGTTGCCCGATCTGTAAATGCAGGTAGAATATTCTTCGGAATATTCTTACCAAATGGATTATTTGATGCATTGCATAATTATTATGGCACGGCATCCACGTTTCGGGTATAGTATTGAATTAGTGCCTGTAGTATCTGATGATGCATGTCAACACACCCGTTTCAGTTTCTACCTCAAAACATAAATCACCCTGTATAATATTAGTAATAGTCCTCAATGATTTATTCTGTAAAACCAAGACTATAGCTAGTATCAATATTCGAATGGCACCAAATATTATTAATTTATTAATATAGTTCAGATGGAGCAAGGCATAGTGTGCAATAATGAATGAGAATAATGAATGAGAACATCACGTGACATTGAAGAAGTTAATTTTCGCACAAGAAAGAGTGCACAGAATAACTTATTACATAACTGATTGATGTGACCATTTCAGTTTGGTGTTCCTCATCAGCTCAACACTGTCAGTTGTATCCTTATCAATGATTGATATAACTTTTTATGTTTTCTTGTTACTGGAACAGACAGACTCAAAGTTATTTAATAATTTTCCATAATTAATTGCGTCGCAAATCAAAGTTGTTTTATTTACAAATAAAATACAATTCAATAAAGTGAAATTAACAGGAGAATCGTTAATGTAAATCAGAAATAACATTGGACTCAGCACAGATCCTTGAGGCACACTGTGCTCAATAAGTTTCAAGTCTGTTTCAAGGATTTCAAAAGAAATTGAGAATTGGAGAAACACCTCATACACCATGACGGAAAAGAGAAAGAAAGCCTAGGATAACTGTCATAGTGAAATTGTCACATTTTCCATAAAGAAAGTTTTTTACTTTTTGAGGTTAAATATTCTATCTCCCCCTATATCTTGATTGATTCTACAAGGTATATATCATTATTCAAAGCTATCTATAAAGGATGAGTCAGTGTTTTGGTAGCAGAACTTTGACATCTTAAAGAAGACATATTTTCAAGGTGAACACTTTATGTGAACATACAGGCATTACTGCTTTGAAGATGGATTGCTGGAGTTCCATGATAGCTAAAAACCTGATTAAAAAACTAATGTGAATGAGACAAGGTCTATAACTAGAAATTATTGCCGCATATAAATGGCCCATAAAAACCTGGAAGGTAGGAATCTTCTTTTCATGGAATGCCATGTATGCACATTTTTGAAGCATCATTGTGACCTCCATCCACCCCTATGATATCCTTGGCTATATTATCAGGATCAGGGTCAGATGCAAAAATCAATGTCATCACAATTATGAAATTTTAGAGCAAACAATCACATCATTTGATGTAATAAGATTCCTGATATTTCTGAAGAATTATAAGTACATGGTGGCTGATGATGATTTTTCAATTCAGAACTTAACAACCCATATATTTTTTGGCCATTTGATGGAAAATTAAAACAGGAACACAATATTTCATTACAACAACCATATTGATATTATTTATAAACATTTTTGAATTATTAAACCTTGAAAATTATAGGTTGGCTATCATGGATACATCTGTTATTAAAACATCAAAAGTGCAATTATTAATTCAGTGAACCAGTTTCTTTATTGAAAGAATTGATACCAGAATCTAAGAAAATGGATATAAATCAACTTTATATATAATAATAATAATAATAATAAACGGCTTTATTCATAGGAATGAAAAGGCGAGGTGTCACTTTACAGTGTTTTTCAACTTTGCCTTAAAAATATGTGAATTTAAAAAAGATAATGTAAATACATATGAGAAACTGAGAAGAAAACAAAATGAGAAAAGTAGTAGAGTCCAACTTAAACTAGTCCTACTCAAAACTAATAGTTACTATAATGTGTACAGTATAATATGAGCATTAAAACGATTTCTTTCAATTATTGCCATCACATATAAACATATTGTCTCAAGCTAAATCATAGATGATGTTCATCAACAACAATGTATATACAGGGTGTTTCGAAATTCGACCGACAACGTTTGACAGGTAATAGCCCTCGTGATTTCATAATCATTGAGATAGGAACATTCGGTCTTCAAGTGTTCAGTTCTCGAGATACAGGGCGTTGAAGTTGAGAAATAAAAATAGTTGTTTCGCAATATCTCAAGAATAATTGAATATAATGCATTCAACTTCGGTATATGGTTTCATCTTTGAATGGGCCATTTTTTGACCTGGAAGCCATTCCGGACATTTTGTCCAGTGGTGCCCTACAGGGGGTTGTGGCATTTTTTCCTTCCATATTTTCTACGCCACTGATTGAATTTCGATTATTTCCAATTCCTCGAATTCATTGTTCAATTTTGTTCAGAAAATGCATCACCTTCAACTGAGCTGAAATAAACAGTTTTCGAGATATTCGACCCAAAATAGAAGATTGCATAGTAATATTTCATCATTTTCAGTAGTAGAAAATTGCAAAAATATTTTTCTGGTGTTGAGTAGATTAGATACTATTCAGATCTCATGCTATAGCTGAACAGAAATAGTTATTCCACGCATAAAGAGGAAACAAAAATTTTTGTAATTTTCTAATACTGAGGAAGATGAAAAATTACTATGCAAACTTCTATTTTGGGTCAAATATCTCGATAACTGTTCATTTTAGCTTAGTTGAAGGTGATGCACTTTTTCAACATAATTGAACAATCAATTCGAGAAATTAGAAATAATTGAGATTTCATCAGTGGCGTAGAAAATATGTGCGGAAAAGTTATCACAACCCTCTGTAGCGCACCTCTGGATAAAATTCTCGGAATGTCTTTCTGGTCAAAAAATTAACCATTGGAAGATCAAACCATATACCGAATTTGAATGCATTTAATTCAATTTTTCATGAGATATCGAGAAAAAACTATTTTAATTTCTCAACTTCAACGCCCTATATCTCGAGAACTGAACACTTCAAGACCGTCTGTCCCTATCTCAGTGATTATGAAATCACGAGGGCTATCACCTGTCAAGCGTTGTCGGTCGAATTTCGAAACACCCTGTATATATATACACCTATAATATACACATACATATACATACACGTATACACACACATATACATAATACAGTACAAAAAAAGAGAGAAACCTGACTCAAATACCATAAACAAATGCTGTGGGCGTCACTGAAGAAACATGGCTTCAAGAAGAGACATTTTGAGTTTTTTTTTGAAGTTTAAAATGGAATAATCTTTGAAATGTGTTGGTAATGAATTATAAAATTTTGTGGCATTATAGGAAAAGCTGCGCTTGAAAATAGCAGAGGAGTGTTGTGGGACAACTAGGACACGTCTATTTCTTGTAGGGATGTTATTAATATTTTCAAATTGAGTCAATTTTTTCCTCAGATATGACGGACGATTAGTTTTCAGAATTTTGTGTACGAAGGTTAGGAGATGAAGGGTTCGTAGGGATGACAAGTTCAATTTGTTGGTGGTTCTAAATGCTGGAGAGATGTGGTCGAACTTCCGTATACCAAGCGCAAATCTTAAACACGAGTTCTGGATACGTTGTAATCTGGTATGATCTCGATTAATTAAGGCAGGGCCATAAATGCAGTCACAATATGCTAATTTTGACATTATTAAGCTTTCACATAAAAGGAGTTTCAAGTCGCGATTCAGAATGCTTCTATGAGGATAAAGTGTTCTTAGTGTACCATATGCAATTTTACAGAGATGATTAACATGCTTCGAATACCGCATTTCGTTGTCAATCCACAAACCAAGATTTATTTACAATTTACTGATTCATATTTTCAAAAATGAAAATGAGAATAAAAAAGACATTCAGTTCAAAGAACAGTTTAAACATAACTATGACATAAGAAATGAAAATAACATTGAAATATAAAACAGACAAGTCAATTGAACATAAAAATTATGAATTTTCATTTCCTTACATATAATAAAATTCCAAATGACATCATAAAACCCAAATCACTCCAATCCTATATGATAAAAATAAAAAAAATGGATATTATTAATTCTTTATCAATTCATTCAATAATATAATTAGAAACATTAAAATAATAATTGTGAATAGGTATATATGTATAAATATAGATAATTATGCTAATTGAATGGAATGCTCAGTACACTATATATGAATTTTATACATGATGTCTCATTTCCTAATGAGAAAATTTTTCCCTTGTGATAATTGAATATTGTTAAATATTTATTGACCTATGTACTTTTGTCTACAAGGTTCACTTCATAAGGTTTTTCCCAGTTTATTGAAAATACCTATCTGTATGTTCCAATTTATATTTTGTAAACATTTCTGAATAAACTTATAATATTATAATTATTATTATTATTATTCACAAAGTAAAAAAAGACAGAATTTCCATTTCTCAAAAGGGTCTACAGCCTAGATCTGATTCTTAATTTTAGATTTATTAAAGTGAAGTTAAAAAACCAATATCTTCCTAATCCTCCCTAGCCTAGGTATGCCTGATGATGTTTTTTGAACATTATAGGTATTTGCCCTTCAGAATGCTCCAAAGGTGAAACAAAAAAGGAGGATGTACCAAACACTTACCATCTTTATCTGCTTTTTCCTCAGCTGAGACAAAACTATCAGAAAGACTCCTTCTACAAGAAGTAGAGGGATTGACTGATGCCTCAATTGATGCCATTGTATTTTTTCTTGTCTCCATAAGGTCATATGTAGACTTTGTTTCCTCAGGAATTACACTCAGGATATTTTTGCCATCTTCTGGATATTCATCCAGTAAACTCCCCCTTTCAATATCTTTATAATCTAGTAGACAATCATTGCTGTTCACACTTTCATTTACCTCCTCATCAGATATAGAATTGCTACTGATAGTAAGCCTTAGAGCAATTTCTTCATCTATGCTACTTCCTGAGGAATAGTTATCTTGATCAATGCTCACATCAAAGATGTGGCTGGGATTTTCTTCCTTCATTTTCAAAATTGATTGCTCATCACTTTGTTCCTCAACTTTTTCATCAAAAGATTCATCATCACTAGAAAGAATAATAATAACCTCATCTTCTGCACTATCTAGGCTATCTGATAATATGCAAGTGGCATTTTTCTTGCAGTTGCTATTTTCAGAGGAAACTTTGGCACAATTCCCACTGGTGTTGGAGCAACTGCTTTCATCTCGGCTTTCATCAAGCTTCTCTACAGGAATATTACTTTGTGAATAGACAGTATTTTCCACCAGCATTCTAGACATGTCTCCTTCTAAATCAAAATCTGTTTTGAGGTTCAATGCAGCATTGACGAAACACATTGTATTTTCTGCTGATAGGTAAGGACAGTCTGTATTTTGGGAAGCCATTGTACTTTCAGCAGCTGTAAAGTAAACAGATGAATCAGGAATGCAGTTTCTGTTTCCTGAGCAAAACTCTGATCTGGCAGAATCTATCGCCGTGAAATAATCGTCAGGAACAGGAGAAATATTTTCAATTCCAGGTTTCATTGTCTCTTCAGGAGCAGGCTCTTTTTTGGCCTCCTTGTTATCTATTATTTTGAGGGCAGTAGTATGTCTTCTGTCTACTTTTTTGAATCTGGGTCTATTCAAATCGAATTTGATTTCCTTCAAGCTAATTGGACCAAAAGCGATTTCTTCATCACTATCAAAATATGAATTCATGATTATAAATAATATTCATTCGGTTGTTTTTGTATTTGAATTTGTGTAACGGCTAACGGCCACCAATTTCAAATAAATAAATACTGTCAATGTCAAATAAGTCAAATATTTCAATTTGACATTTGCCGTTAAACCTTCCTTTCATTCGTTTCGTTGGCATATGAGTGCCTGCAGACAGTTCCCGCACAGCCATCCAATATTTGGCTTCCAACATAAAGGAAGCCAAATAATCCCTTCTGCGTAGGGCGCCGTACATTATGCTATTTCTCGGCAAGTTTGAGGCAATGCAATTTTCTCGCAATTTTCTCATTTTATTGGAAGTCGCCGTACATTGAGATATTTCTGTCATATTTTCTCGTTCATATTCACTATTTTCAGGTTTTTTGAGCCTTCAATGTACTTTTTGAGGTTATTTGGTGTTTCAGGCCACGTTATGGAGAAAATTTGTATATTATCAAGATGCTACGATGAATATTACTAAAATTGTACTAAACTTGCCTTGAAATTGCAGTAAAAATAGGACTGGTTCTATTACGAAACTTGCATGAAACTTGCCGTGAAATATCATAGACGCATGCGCATTGTTCGATTCAAAATTGCATTGCATCGAACTTGCTGGTAAATAGCATAATGTACGGCGCCCTTAAGAAAGGATACCACTTTTCCTAAACAATAATCCAACTCGAACTAAATGAACCTTCTTCCTGAAAAATATTTCTTTCGAAAATTGACTTGCGATAACTACTTTTTCGGAACAATCTAGCCTAATCTGCCTAATGAAGGAAGTAAGGCCCATATTTATAGTCGTTTCCTCAAGACTTCCTCAAGGCTTCCTTATCTGAGGATTCCTCAGCACTTGAAGGAATGACTTGTTTTATAAACATTCCTCAAGTGCTCCTTGTGTAAGGAATCCTTACATTTGGCAACAGTGTTCAATGTTAGTGTTCTGTGACCAGATTCTGCTGATTTATGTCGATTTCTGTTTCGTGCCGTGTTGTGTCAATATTTCAAAAATTCAAATTTGAAAGTGAAAAAGCGAGGTAAGTGGAAATTTTTGATTCTGTAGACTTAAAGACTGATACTAGATGATTTTTTCAAATTTACAGATGAGTGATATTGATAGAAAAGTATTCTCCGTAAGAGAGAAGGTTCTGCTTATGTCTTTGGTGGAGAAATATAAGAATATATTGGAAAATAAAAAAACCGATGCTATACAGATCCAACAGAAAAATGAAGCCTGGAATAAAATTACTCAATTTTATAACTCGAACGATGTATCCAGAAGGACCACAAAGCAATTAAAAAAACTATGGGATAATTTGAAACAAAAGTAATAACCTGATATTCATTCCAATTATATATTGGAAATATGAATATAGTTCACCCAATAATACTCATCACCTATAATTGAACATTTTTAGGACTAGAAAGTCAGATACGGAATTCAAAAATAAAATGCTGAAAACAGGTGGTGGTCCTTCTTCAAAAGTAGATGATGATCCGCTAAATGTAATGGTGCGGTCAATTGTTCCTACCATTAATTTCATGATAGATAACAAGTTTGATAGCAATGCTGCATATGTCGAACAAAGTGAGATAATATGTTATTCTTTTACATCAATAAATGAAAATGATTTATCATTTTGCTATAATATACTGTGCTAGTCAAAAGTCCCCTCCCCCCCTCGTATCTTTTGAACGGGTATACTTATAATAATGAAATTCGGATGGTGGAAATAAACGGATGTAGGCTTCTCAACTGGTCATAACAGGTGACGCAATAGTTTATTTCCACCCTCCAAATTTCATTATTATAAGTATACCCGTTCAAAAGATACGAGGGGGGGAGGGGACTTTTGACTAGCACTGTATAATATATCATATAATATTATACAGGGTGTTCCTTAATGACATGCTAATAATATATTCAAGTCAATAGCGTGACAAAAATGACTGCAAAAATGTCGTCAATTATTGATCGACTGATGTCTATGACCAAAAATCACCAGATATTGACGTCATTTTAGACGTGCTTCTGTGGGCTGGGAAACGTCCTAACTTTTGATATACAGAAGTCTTTGAGGAACACCCTCTATAATAATGAAATCTTCAATAACATATATTTATTCTCATAGGAAAACATTTGGAATCATCATCTTCTCCTGAAGTTGCACCAGTACCAGTGGATGAAGGTATAGTTTATAATAATCCATATGGTAATATGGTATATATACTTACTTATTTGGAACAATGGTTTCAGGATCTGTTATTGAAATGGAAGAAGATGATATAATAAGACATGAACAGTTTCCATTAGGTAAAAATCTTGCCAGATTTATCATTGATAAAATTCGTTTTTTTTTTCAAATATATGGGTATAGGTATTTCTTTTTTGTAGATCTGGATTATGAAATTCAGCACGACGTACCAAATAGGAATGATGAAAATGTAACATTAGTTCCAGGTAAAGGTAATAAAAACAATATATTAGATATTGTCTCTGGAATTTCTGTTTTTCAGATATATAAAAAAAAAACTCGCGAAAAACAAAAAATAATAACATTTCATTAGTTGAAAAAGAAAGTCAGCTGAGACTTACAAAATTAGAAAACGCCATTCAACAGCAGACTGAACTGCATAAAATGAAATTAGAAGCAGCTGAAGCAGAAAAATTATTCTGGATTAAGAAAACCCAGTTGCTAGATAGAGAAGATTCATCTTTCAATTTTTAAAATTAAATCATTAATTGTTACTTATTCCTTAAATAAATTATAATAAAAGTTATACGGCTCTGAAAAGTCCACATTTGAAAATAGTTTCAGATTCACAGGGTGTTCCATTTTCACGCGCAATAGCAAAAATAATAGATTTTTCAAATGGAATACCCCTGTATTTTATTGCATTCTTAGATTCTTCTAGAAGAGCTGATTTTATCAATGCATCACACTTATTGGGGTCCAGCGGAAATGATTACAGGGATATATAGGGTGTTCAAAATCGAGATTTTTCAACTTTAGGATTTTTTGTGTCCGAACTATTCATTATTGGCCACAAAACGGCTCACATATGTCCCTTTCTTAACTTTTATGATTATCTATCTACTGACATTTAATTGGAACAAATAAAGAGATAGAGGGTGGTTCAAAGATTCAGAATTCTGATCACCCTCTGTATCAATTGAAGCTTTTAAAATTGGAAAATGCAATTCAACAGCAGACAACTGTATAAAGTGAAACTTGAGGTTGTAGAAATAGAAAAAATGTATTGCATGGTTAAGAAAAACTCAATTGTTGGAAAAGGAGAATGTATTTAATTAAATAATATATATATATATATATATATATATATAGTATAGATCAACACATATATCTATATTTTGAATGGAACTGTTCATTATTTCAAAGTAGAGGTACCAAATTATAAATACCTACTCCCAGGAATATATAGGTACTGTAAATTTGCGAATTTGTCATGTTTCAGATTTTTTGTCGATTTACCTTCAATAATAAAAATTCAGGAAAAGAGTTTTGAAACCTTATTTTCGAGCATTAATAGAAAAACTATATGTATTTCATCAATTTTGATTCTAAACAAGAAGAATATGTCACTAGTAATAAAATCTTTCATTGCCACATGGGACAATAAATATGAAAATAATAATATAGGATGTCCTTTGACTTTTGGCATAAAATCTAATATTATATAGGTCTATTATATACTTTTGCATTCACTTCTCTATAAAAAGACTTGAAGGATAACAACAACAGTTGAATTTGAGGTAAAAAATCAAAACCAATACCTAATCGGAAGAGGTAATAATGCAACATCAAGCAGTAAGTAGAATCTGTTACCTTCTTGAAAACATTCATATAGATACTCCAAGATTACGAAATCCTGATGGAATGGTGCACTGGTGGTCACCTAGGTGGTTATTCACATACCTGAATGAAAAACAATATTAGTACACATGTTTGTCTCAACATACCCATAAAATCAATTAATATCAAAAATGTATTTGTATAAATGCCCTTCGGAATGCTAATCCTTCTACATTATTATCAATATTTTCAAATATAATATTTTCTGCAATATTGACCACATCTTCTGCTTCTTCATCTTCAAAAATATCATTCATCTGCCTTCCAATATTATGCAATACTGCTGTTGCACAAATTATAGTGGCAGATGTCTCTAATTTTGTGTTGAGTGTTCTTTTCAAGCATGGGAATCTTCGCTTCCAAATGCCAAACACTCTCTCTACAATATTTCTTGTACTCCGATGTGCTCTATTGTAATTCCTTTCAGTGACATTGCTTGGATTCAAAACAGGAGTCAACAAGTACCTCTTGCACCCATATCCATTATCACCCAGTATAATACCTGAGATTTAAATAAATATAATATATATTAGATACTTCTCTTTCCTCATTGCTGCCATTAATAGTTCAGAAAATGGAAAAATCAAATCAGATAATTGAAGATGCCCAATGGATATTACCATCTAGCTGATTCTCTTCAAACAAAATTCGTAGAGCACTTTGGGCAAATATTGTGTTATCATGGGTTGATCCTGGATGTCTGACAACAATATCTAAAATTTCCATATTTGGACCACATGCAACCTGAGAGCAAGAGGAGTAGGTATTAGCTAATAGCACAAAATATAAGGTGAACCATTTATAATAGGGACCTGGACATTCAGTGAAAATTGTCCTTTCCTGTTACGGAAAATTTCTCCAATATCTCCACCAGGATTCAAAATTGAGATATGGGTTCCATCAACACAAGCTGCAACATTTGGAAATCCGGCTATTGTGTGAAATTTCCTTATATTTTCTTGTTGGCCATCAGCATCAGGAAAATGTATGAAATTGTTCAAATGTTCTGCCAAAGCTATGGACACCCTTTTGATTATAAATGACATTGATGCCTGTGATATTCCTCTTAAATCACCCCCATCAATCTGTAGCATACATAGGAACAATTTGAAATCATTGAAG